ATAGATAGATAGATAGATAGATAGATAGATAGATAGATAGATAGATAGATAGATAGATAGACAGATAGATAGATAGATATAAAAGTTATTGGCTCTTCATTAGGCTCTATTTCCGCTGATACGCCGATCTCTCTGGTCCGGTCTCTGGGAGCAAAGCCTACTTTCACGAACACCGGCTGGTAATCGTGTTACATAGTGTTACATGTATTCTTCGCCTTCGAACAAAAAAGTACAAACAAACAGAACTTTCTTTATCGCGAGAGAACGAGAGTGAGCCCGAGGACTAATCTTGATGGCGGTCAGCGGCTTGCCACTGTGTTTGTCGCACGCGACAAGCAAGCTAAGCGTTTGCAACAAGAGTTGTTTCGTATGAATCAAACGATGTGGTATGACATGTACACAAGTTCGGTCGAATTTTGCAGTACGCTAAATCACATTCGACAGGTTGAAAAGCATCATGGATGAAAGTTACATGTGTTTTACTGTACGGCGATAAATGATAATTATCCTAATGTGACAACATGACAACAACCTCTAACACATTAACTGAAGTGACTTTGCTTTCCGTAATGAAAATTACGTTTATTATAATAAACTGATGAGGAGCCAAACAATTTTCTTTGAACATTTTCTCATACAAACCAGGCTTTCTACTTTGAATTTAAAACTGAATTCATCTGTCAAAAAGAGGTAGAAAAGAAATGCTAGTTTTCGCTCAATGGTTTCCTAATATACATACATAATTAAATAACAGAAACGGAAAAAAAGAAAGGGAAAAAATGGGGTCCGAATGAAAATCGTCCCCTGGATTTCTTGACTGCGAAGCTATAACGATATCCACTACGCCACATCAACACTATTCTGTTCACAGACCCTAAATATTGTCTTGACTTCTTTGAGACTCGCTCGCTACGGAGATGAGATAAAGTAACGGTTGAGAATGCTAACGCGAATGAAAATGGAAAGCAAAAAGGGCTAAGCCACTTCGGATTCCGTAATATTCTGTTATTTATTTAATGTTCGTTTTGTCATGTTGAGTGGACTTTTCAAAATCCATTATCAGTTTGTACAGCTTTGGAACTGTATACGAGAAAAAACGATCTCTTTACTATTTGAATCTCATTAACTACTCGTGTAACACACATTGCTTAAGATCGATATGTAATCAGTTGCGAGGAGTATTAAATTACAGTTATACCTATACAAAGTCATCATTTGATATCAACGAGAAATAGATGACTAATAAATAGCGTGCTGACCGATCTATGGCACAAAGGGTGGTGAGAATTACAATCAAGAAAAGTAAGACTGAGTGAATTTCTTAAAAACTACGGCAGTAGTGAATAATAGTAACTGGCAATTTTCTCTTTTTGATGACTCTTCAATATAGACATTTAATGGACCATGCAATGTTTTCTATTTTTCTGTATGAAGGTCTTTCGTGATGTTGCCTGGGAGCGGGAGATACTTTCTCTTCGCGTCAAGTGCGAGAAGAGTGACAGAGGATGTGAGTGGACTGGACCGCTACGGTACTACGAGGTACAGTATAGCTTGTTACTTGTAATTTGCCTCACATCACATAAAGGTTTTGTTTATTTTTAGGTGTAATGCCGATCTGATTTTCGAGCAATGTCTTTAAGCTTTCTGTTTTGAGGACAAGGTTAGACAATAAACATTAGCCACTCCAAATCACAACGGATGAACAACAATTAGTTCGTCTTCTGTGATCGTCCGCGTGAGGGTAATTCTGAAAAGAACTGTTATGTTAGTCAGCCGATGATGATATAAGTCTGGTCCGTTAAAATACCAGACTTATAACATCGACTGACTAACACTATTTAGTTGACTCTGAAGAAGACTTCCGCTTGAAGAAGACTTCTGTTGCTGGTGACGTCAATCACAACAACAGTTCTTTTCAGAACTGCCCTTACCCGAACGATCACACATACGTACATGATCTTTATTTCAACACGGTTAAAAATTCGTCAGGTAAAACTACAAATATATTCAATTCCTAATATCTAATGTAATAAAATAATTAGCTGCTTTCCACGAATGCCGTGCTTTGTACATCTCCTTTGAGTAGGCGTTTAAACTGCCTCAGAGACTCTGCCTCCCTTAAGTCACAAGGAAGACTACTGTTCCAAAGAATGGCACCACAAGACGAACTATACTGATACTCCTGGGTTCAAACCATTTACTACACAATTAGTTTCAGGCTAAGAATTAACCTCCAGATTTCTCTGCCAGATTATAATAAATGAAACTATCAGAAAGGCATTTTTGATTGTCTTTAAGACGACCGTCATGAATTTGGAAAACAGGCAGCTTTTGAAGTTGTGCTCTTTTCGTCTTTCACAGGAACACTTTGTTTTCTGCAAATATGGAGACGTAACATGTGATGACTGTAAAGAAGAGATGCAAAGAAGACTCCTGCACAAACACAACACATCAGAATGTCCAAACAGGACGGTGCAATGTGAACATTGTGAAGAGGAGTTCGCCCTCTGCCACACAAGGGTGAGGTTGCTTAAATATAAAGGCAAATCTTGCACTGATCCGGATTGGTCGCTTTGCCCAGGCATACGTGAATAAATAGAATTTAGTGATTTAAACATTCTCATCCCCAGAGCCCACGATCCCTGCCGCAGGCCAGAAGGATCGTGGGCTCTGGGGACGAGAATGTGATTTAAGGTGGCTGGAAACAGTTTTCAGCACTTTTCCAACGGCTATACTTTGGAGGATTAATACTACCACTGTTCATCAAGTAATGCTGCAATATTGGTATCAAATGATAACCAATATTGCAGCATTACTTGATGAACAGTGGTAGTATTGATCTGTCATAGACTATAGCTGTTGGAAAAGTGCTGAAAACTGTTCCCAGACACCTTAACGCTAGTCTCCTTCGCAGCCGTTTTTTTGGGATGTCACTTTGGGGGGAGTGTTGCGTGACATTCCAAAAAACGGCTGCGAAGGAGACTACCTTAACGCCCAAAAATAACACAAGAATTGAAGTTTACAGTGATTGGCCTGTAGATATTTTAATGCGTACCGTACTAGCTCTAAGAAAAAAAAAAAACAGAAATGCAAGCATTTGTTGATTCTAGGTGATGCCGTTTCCACGGTCAGCATTGGGGCATTATGATTGAGACTGAGATAGCAGCAGACAGATCAGTGATCTCTGTGGTCGTGACCAACTTGAAGCCACCAAAGCTATTCTAAACCTACTGTCATTTCAATTTTGGGAAACCTTTGAGAAAATTTGCCCAGAACTACGTCACATTCACGTTTGGTTATATAGTAACGCAAAGGGCTTTTGTGACAATCATAAATGCTCTAGAAATTGAAATTTAGCAGAAAAAGTCTTTTTCCTTTTTTTAGCCTTTTTGTAGTTGGTTTATTGCTTCCCATATTAAGTGTTCACACATCTTTGCAGTGTCACGAAGATATTGAATGCCCACGTTTTCCTGTGAATTGCCCTCAAGAATGTGGCGAAGAGGAGATTCCCCGAGAAGAGGTAAATATTTAGTGATATATGATCAATTAATATTCCAAATGGAGA